AAATAGATGGTTAAACTAAAGTAGTTAATATAACTTTAAATATATTTTTAAGAATTATCATTCAATTTTTTTTAAAAAATAAGAAAAATTGCTTGTTATTTATTGAATTTGTTTATAACAAGAATATATATTTTACTACTAATCATTCTCCTTTTAAAATTATCTATAACTTTAATCATTCGACTCCTTTTAGGTTTATTTCCTTTATCTAATCCTTTTAAAATTATATATAACTTTAATCATTTGACTCCTTTTAGGTTTATTTCCTTTATCTATTGATGAAAGTGTTAGTATTTATAACAATAGAAAAATACAGGTAATAAAAGCTCTTTATAACAATGTGAGGTAGAATATATATATTCTCAGAGGTTTTTGATGTAGAAGAAGCCAAAATAGAATTAGATCTATAAAAAATTAAATCTATATTTGGAAAATATAATTTAGAAAATAGGCTATAAGTTATATAGGTTTATTTCCCTAATCACACAACAGGATTTACACCATTCAGTAGCATTCACCTATGAACTAAGGGTTTCTTCTCCTTCTAGGGTTTTTGCAATTTTGTGTGAGAGATACCTAAGCCGAAAGTATTTTGTAATTTGTTGTCGACACTTTATATATATATATATATATAAAATGAACAATATGCATTCAAAACTAATAAAAGGAGACAAAAGAGTTATTTTTTAACCAAGTAATTAGGTTTAGGTGCATATACAAAAAAATATATTTTATAAACAAAGTAAATATAAGTTGATGCTAAGAAGAGATGGACCATTTTAAATCCTTGAAAAAATTGGTGATAATGCCTATAAGGTAGATCTATCAGGTGAGCATGATATTAGTGCTATTTTCAATATTTCTGATCTCTCATTGTTTGATGTATGTGATGATTTATGGAAAAATTCTTTTGAGGAAATAGAGGATACAATCAAGATCACACCAAAAGATCCATCAAAATATTCACTACAAGTTCTAGTTAGGCCAATTACAAGATCAAGGGTAAAGAAACTTAAAAATGCATTCAATGAGCTTATTCAAAGTATTTGGATTAAAGTCAATTTCAAGAAGCCTATCTCTTTAACAAGTGATGATCAAATCTTGGTCAATCTAATATATCAATAAAGGGGTATTATTTATATACAACATAAGCTTATTTCGCAATAGTGGGCTAATTAAGTTAAGCATTAAAGGTGATTTTGGGTTTATTTTTTTCTAATAAATGGTTTTACTCTAGCAAGTATAATTTTTTATCATATCATTGACTCAGTTTGAAAGTTTACAAGAAGTTTTTGGAGATCTTGTTTTATATTTGACTAAATATTTAGGAAAATCAGACATTGGAAAGGCTTTGCGATAAGGTCCAGAAGCTACTGTGCAAGAATTATATTAGTTTCATAGTTGATTTAGAATTCTTTTTTCTATTTTATTTAGAACTCTTTTATTATTTTTTTCAAAATTATTTAGATGTTTATCTATTACAAATATGATTATTTAACTTGTACTTAAGTTTTTTTTTTTTTAACAAACTTTGATTTCAACAATTAATATTGTGTGTGAGAGGATTTGTTCATACTTTTTTATTTTTCATTGAATTATCATGACTTATCGAAGAATTAATCAAGTTTTATGGTGTTTTTTATACTTTTTATTTGTGTTTTTTTATAAGTATTAAATGATGGTTTAGTTACTTATAATCTTTATGTTTTGATACAAATTATCATTGTGTAAAGTTGAATTCTAAACATGATCTTAGGTTTTCTAAAAAAAATCAATTTAAATATGAATTTATAAATTTTTATATCTATTACGTTCACATTACAGTAATTTGTGAATGTGTGTACAATGATTTTGTCACCTCTCTTAGTTTTTTTATTAATACAATATGTGTTTCTTGGTTTAATTGATGATGCGGCATACTAGAGTTACACTAGTTTCTTGTAATATATAAAGCTTAAATGTCAACATATATCAATCGAGTCAGTTAGTTATGACATTATAAATAGATGAAAACCTTAATTAATAAAAATTAAAACCGCGATATGCTTATATAAGAAAAGGTTCGGTTTTGTATAAGCTGCAAAATCATTGGAATGTTGTTCTTTGCCCTGCTTGACCTTGTTAACCACGACACCAAACAAGTTAGCAAGAAAGTTTATATACAAATAAAAAAATAATAAAAAATAAATTCAAGCAGATTGTACCATTCTATCAAGAAATTGATGCTTCCCTATAATTGTGTCAAAGTAATCTTTTCCCCCCCCCGGAAATGACAATTATTCAATTAATGAATATGAAAATCACAACCACATCTGTTGTAATTTGTTTAATCAGCCCTTTTAGTCAATTATTAAAATACTTTTAAATAATACTCAATTAATTATATGTATTTTCTTTTCCATAACTTTAATTAATTTGTATTTTTTTTCACAACTTTAATTCGAAGACATATAGCTAGCAAATAGTGAGGAAGGCTAGATTTATGTAAAACACCACCCTACGAAGGCATAAATGGGTTGCAAAATTACCAAGAAAACAAACGAATTTAGGTGATGTAAAGCTAAGCAACCTTTATAACCAACCCAACTATCCTTTTATCTCCTTCGTATTCATCCGAGGAAGCCAGCTTTTGGTCCCAATAATAATCTTTGATTTCTTTTTTGTCTAAAATAATAGTGTTTGCAAATGATGTTTTATTATATTATATTTTATTTTGTTTAAGATTAATTTTGTATGTCTTTAGATTGTTTTGATGTAAAAAATAATTTTTTTTAAAATAAAAAAATTATATTAATGTATTATTTAAAAAAAATATTTTAAAAAATAATCATGAAAAAATAATTTTAGATTTTTGTTTTGTCTTATCGTTCAATAATATGTCCAAATTTGGGCAACTAAATTAGGTTACTTTATCATTTAATGACTGCTCTATATGGAAGAATAATAATATTATAAATATATCTTCTTTAAAAATATTTAATAGTCAATTATATATATTTTTTATCCTATAAAATGCTCATAGCATCATAAATATCAGGAGGAATTACAATTTGTAATGGTCCATAGAAAATCACAACATCTGAACGTGACAACCCATTTATCATACCATACAAATGATACATATTCAATCCCTTAATATTTTTTTCAATTCAAATTTAGTATAAAATTTTATTTTTATTATTTTTTATTTTCTAGTTTTGAGAGAGGAGAGAGGGAGAGATCCCTAGATTTCAGTGGTAGAGAAAAAAAATATTATTGACATCGATTCAAGCTATCAAAATGACCGATTTCTGTGTCAAATAATTTTATTTGATGAAAGGAGTTCAACTTAGGTGTTTATTTTTATTTTTTACCTTGAGTGCCTAAAAAAACATATATGAGCTTGATAATTTTTTTTTTTTAAGGTTTTAAGATTTTTTTTTTGAGTTTTTAAGGTTATTGATAGATTTATCAATATTCATATAGTGTGTTTTCTAGGTGTTTTTGGGTAAAAAATGAGTTGAATAATATGTTTTAAGATAAAAAAATATTCATTCTTAATTTTTCAGTCACTACAACGATTAACTGGATTAAGTTAAGCATTATACCTAATTTTTTTCAAAAAATATTGGTGTCATTCGCTCTAATATATATATATATATATATATATTTTAAAAAGCCTCTTTTAAACGGATTATGCCCAAAGGAGTCTTAACTCTTTTGTTTTTTTGATAAATTTTTATTTTTTTTAAAAAAATCATACTGTTTTATATGTGTTTTTTCTAAAAAAGTTTTAATTTATATTTAAATTAATAACTCTTCTCTTTGATTTTTTTATTTTGTATTTTTTAAAAAAAGCAATGATTTTTTTTTAAGTATTTTGCATGTATTTTATTTTTTAAAAGATTTTTCTAATTCATTTATAATTTTTTATGTTTTATATAATTAAAATCTAAAAAAATTTTAATTTATATTTAAATTAATAACTCTTCTCTTTGATTTTTTTATTTTGTATTTTTTAAAAAAAGCAATGATTTTTTTTTAAGTATTTTGCATGTATTTTATTTTTTAAAAGATTTTTCTAATTCATTTATAATTTTTTATGTTTTATATAATTAAAATTTCTTTTTAAAATAAAAAATATTTATTTTTTGATAGTATTTCTAATAAGTGCAATATTGTGAGATATTTTTCCCCTTTGATTTTATTCAATCATTTTTATATGTGTTTGTTTATACCATCATGTAATTAAATTAAAAATAATTTTAATAAATATAGTCATTAAACATAATTGTGTAAATAAATCGTGTTGTGATATCAATTTTTCTTTGATTTTATTAAATCATTTCTATATGTGTTTATTTCAATCGTCATGAAATTAAATAAAAAATAATTTTAATAAACATAATAACTAAACACAATTGTGTAAATAAACCATATTATGATATCAAATATATTTATTTACATCCATTTTTTGACTTTTTCAAATATATATTTAGTTATTATTATTAATATTTTTTTATTTGTTTGGGTAGGTGATTTTAATTTGTTTACTTAGATGTGTGCATAAAAAATTTAATTTTTATTTGATATATTTATATAAATAAATATATCAGAAAACTTATATTTAATTTTTTTAATAATTAAAAAATTACTCAACCCCAACCACTATGTTCCCACTTTTAAAAGAAATAAAAATTATTTAGGAGAAAATTAGTTATTTTTAGAGAAAATAATCAGTTAGTGCTACAAATTAAGTAAGTAAAAAAGAAAAGAAAGAAATACGTAAATGTAAACTGATAGGAGTAGTATTTACTGGATCTGGATCCCAAAAATTAAGCCAAAAAATAATTAATTGTCCTAAACGAAACAATTAACTAATCCACCTGGCCCCTAATCATGCACGCTCCCCCTTTCCTCTCTTCGGTGTCCACTCACTGTCAAAACAGCAGCAGCAGCACCAACAATAATAAAAAA